CTACATTGTATTCTCTAACAGGACCTACCTGCTGGGCTGACAAGCGCTATGAAAAAACTAAGAGGCCTGAGAAGGTTAAGGTAGATGGGCTTCCCTGAGGAGACAATGAGAAGTACTGGACAAAAATGCCTAATGAAGGAAAGAGCGTGAGCAAAGGCCCAAAGGCAGAAAGGAGCAAGAACCTTTAGAGTAACAGAAAGACCATGGTGACAGATGCTCAGTCAACAGAGAGAGGGTTAAGGAAAGACTAGCCAACAAAGATCAGCTTGGGGGATGGGGTGAGGAGTGCTTGAAGGCCACGTCAGACTTTATTAGTCTTTATTTTTTTTAGAGGAACAGGAAATTTCCTCCAGTGTTAAGCCCAAGAAGGCCTGGAGGGTTCCTCCCCATACCAGACCTGGAACTTTAGACTTCGGGAGCATCTGTTTGCTCATCCAGGAAAGAGGGATTAAAAACAGTCTAGCTCACAGGTACCACTGTCAGGAGTAAATAAAACTTTGTACAAAGATACTCAGCTAAGTGCCTGGTAAAAAGCAGTGGCTTGGCAAGTTCTCACACAAGCCCTTTATACCTGCCCATCCCGCCCAGCTCCCCCACAAGCCACTGGGTACTTTAGGATCAGTCTGCATCTCTTTTCCCCTGCTTGAACCTAGCACTGTGCCCAGCATACAGTAGGCCTTTAACAAAACTTGTTAATGAATTGTCTTTAAGCCTAAGGCATGTCAAAAGTCTAGTCCTGAACCCAAGGAAAGCATTTGAGCTTCTGAACTACATTCCCATGGCTGCCAGCCAGACTTCTTCACTGCCACCTGACATGGCCCAGTGCACAGTAGGCCTGCAGTCAACATTTTCCGAAGCCCTCTATAGCAGGGCTCCTACTGGGATGGATCGCTGGGAGTGGCTGTTCTTCAACAGCACTCCAAGTCACCAGCAGTACACAAGTTTTAAAACAATAAGTTGAAATGTACTCGCCAAGGAAGCCACCAACCTACAAAGAAAACCTTATCGCTGATCTTGCAATGAGCACCAGCCTCCCCTTTGCAAGAGCTGAGATCAAAAGATAAAGAAGCTATCAAAAAGCCATCTGCCCACTTAAAATAATATCATAAGTCACGTTAGGAACCACACACCTGGGGCCAGTTACCAAAACAATTGCCTAAATGAGCTGCTTCAATTTCTCCTTAAAACCACCTATGTATTTTTAAAAGAAAAACACCCTTCCCACCCACCTTGGCCCAGCAAGGTTTTGATTTCTCTGTTCTCTTCCTTTCACACTCTCAAAAATGACCAAACTCCATTACACAAACTGTCACATCTTACAGTCTGGGCTCTCACGAGAGCTAGCAAGGATGACAACTTGGGGAAAATGATAGAAATGAAGATGGTTCTTGGGCACTGGAACTGCTCGACCCCTTGACCTGAGTGGTGGTTATGCAAGTGCTTGCACAGGTACAAACCCATGGAACATACACTTAGGATCAATACACTTGATGTTAGTATACCTCAATAAAACAAAGTACTCAAAAGAGGTAAAAGACTTACTAGACACTATGCTGAAAACAAACTATACAACTTGTGGAAGGAAGGGGTGATGATGTCCAAAAAGAAATGTACTCATTACCAGACTTATAAAACTGTAACATCTCTGTATATCATTTTTAAAATAACAATTAAAATTTTTTTTAAAAAAGAGGTAGAAGAGTTGGGCACCAGTGGCTCATGCCTGTAATCTAGCTACTCAGGAGGCTGAGATGTGAGAATTGTGGTTCAAAGCCAGCCCTGGCAGGAAAGTCCATGAGACTCTAATCTCCAATTAACCACCCAAAGTGAAGAAGTGAAGCTGTAGCTCAAATGGTAAAAGTGCTATCTTGGAGCAAAAAAGCTCAAAGACAGCACCTAGTCCCTGAGTTCAAGCCCCAGGACACACACACACACACACACACACACACACACACACACACACACACACACACACACACACACACACACACACACACACACACACACACACACACACACACACAGAATCTGCACACACACACACACACAAAGAATCTGCCCTCAGACCTGCTAGGCCTTCAAGAGGACCAGTATTTTTTAACAATACACACACACACACACACACACACACACACACACACACACACACGAATCTGCCCTCAGACCTGCTAGGCCTTCAACAGGACCAGTATTTTTTTAATAAACAATATCCCTAGCATTTCTTCTCTGTTATCAGTCATTAGCTGGGTAACTGAGAGCAAGCTGGATACCACCTCTGAATTCCATTCTCCTCTCTTATGTGGGTATAGTCACAGTACCTACAACACACAGTACATGCAGCTGGCCTAAAAGAGAATGCACCTGGCCCTCTCAGCTGACATAATGCTGGCCTCCATTATCTTTTACAGCTACTACCTATTACCTTGCTCATGTTTGCTACATCCAACACAACCATACAGTGATCATCCTTCCCCCTTTAGCAGATGAGAAGATGGAGATAAGGCCACACAGTTGACAGGAATTTAGGAGAGGTCTCAAGAAAACTATACATTGAGTACCTGAATATTAATACTACCTAACACCTCTGTAGCATTAATTTGAACTAGGTTCAGTTCTAAGAGTTTTTATACCTCCTGTGAAAAAGCCATAGTAGAGGATAAAGTTATATGATGCATAGTACTGTTAAGATCTGGCCAAGAGCAGGCACTAGTGATTCATGCCTATAATCCAAGCTACTAAAGAGGTAGAGATCTGAGAATCAAGGTTCAAAGCCAGCCTGGGCTGACAAATCCAAGGGACCTTTATCTCCAATTAACTGGGAAAAAGCTAGAAGTAGAAAGTACCAGCCTTGAGCAGTTTTAGGCCAAGTGATGGGATAGCAGGAGTGGGCCAAGTTCACAGTCAGAAAATGGCAGGGCTGGGATTGGAACCCAGGCAATCTGATGCCAGAATTCATGCTCAATACTGTTTTTCAAAAGAAAAAAGGCATGCTGGGCACCAGTCACTCACACCTGTAACCTTGCTACTCAGGAGGCTGAGATCTAAGGATCCAGTTCAAAGTCAGCCAGGCAGGAAAGGCCATGAGACTCTTATCTCCAGTTAACTAGCAAAAGGCCAGAAGGGGAGCTATGGCTCAATTGGCAGAGAAACAGCCTTACAGGGAAAAGCTATGGGACAGTGCCCAGACCTGAATTCAAGACCAGGACTGGCACAAAAAAATAAGTCATGCTGCCTGCCCCCTTTCAACTAAGTCTCAAGGCTCTGGCTGGGTTCAGATTGGCAAGTGGGTGCTTGATTGCTTCCTCACTTACTCAGGCACTTCTGCTCACCGGGTGAGAAGTAAGACATTTCTGAACCACTCACAGCTCACCAAGATCAGTAGATCCCATACCTTGCTGCAGCCAGCGGCTTCTACTCAAGCAGACCCAAGGGCCAAATGAGCATTTCCCTTTCCATTCCCATTTTCAGCCCTCCAAGGGGCGGGGAAATTTTAGGGAGACTCTATTGATCCCCAGATTGACTTAGATGACTACACAAGGAATCATACCAGCTGCTGCCCTTGAAAAAACTCACAGCATAATAGGGGAAACCTTAAAAAAAAAACAAAAAAACAAAAAAACTCCTGTATCTGGATCTCCTGGGATGTAACTAGTTCTCTCTTTTCCAAGACTCTGAATAGTTTGTGGGAGCTATGGCAAAAAAAAAAAAAAAAAAAAAACCTACAAGGCACAGCTGGGAGCCTGTAGCTCAAGCCCATAATCCTAGCTACTCAGGAGGCTGACAACTAAGGATTGAGGTTCAAAGCCAACCCAGGCAGAAAAGTCTTTTAAGTCATCTCCAATTAACAACATAAAAGCTAAAGGTGGAGCTGTGGCTCAACTGGTAGAGTACTAGCCTTGAGTTCAAAAAAAACAAAAACAAAAAAACAAAACTCAGGGAGAGTGCGAAGGCCTGACTTCAAGCCCCAGGACCCACACAAAAGGGGGGGGGGATATTAAGAGCTGGAGGCATGACTCAAGTGGCAAGGCACTTGCTAGGCCCATATGAGGGCAAATTCAAACCCCAGTACCACCAAAAAGAAAATTAAGACATGAGCTTCAAGTACAAATCCCATTTCATTCTGCTTCTGGCAAAATACTGAATCCTTATGAATGGCTTCAGTCCCTTACCCCTACAGGAGGCTTCAGACTAGATAAGAGCATAACAGTAAAGAGCACACTTGGGCTTCAAGGTCAGGCATGGCTGAAGTTTAAAAGCCATGCACCATCACTTCCTCAACCAGTTTTGCCACCTCTAGAACCCTGATTTCCTGCTGTCAAATGCAAATCAGACTCCCTACCCACAATTGGCAAGGCCTTTGGCCATACTACCACGTCACATTGCACTTCTCCAATCCATCACACTGCCCATCATTCACACCAAGCTCATTTCCCACTTCAGGATCTTTGCACTTGCTTTTCCCTCTATCTAGAACAGCTTCCTTCCATACACATACATAACTGTTCCTAATCATTCAGGACTCAACTTAAATGGCACCTGCTCAGAATTCTCTCTGTTCCCTTTTCTACCAATTCTCTCATATAACTCACAGCATCCAGACCTTAACTCAAAGGCTCACCCTTAACGTGTCTAAACTGCTATTCCCTCCCAACTGTCCCTTACTGCATTTTCCTTTCCTCTCAGCATCTAACCATATCCCTATTCATATTCTGCTTACTTGCTTGCTTTTCCAAAGTACCTCACAAAAGAACCTTTTCATGATCCTTAAAGTCAGGGAAGATGTCTCTTGTTGGGGGCTGCAGGATGGAACTCAACAAATGAATGAAACCCCAGGAATTAAAAACAATGCCTAGCACGATCGTCCTCCACTACTCTTTGACTGAATGCACCCTCCTCCCTGTCCTGGGAAAGCAGGCCTGATGGGCTCTTGGGCCAGGATGCTTGTCATCCACTCTACCATACAGCCCTTGGTTGGCGGAGGTGGCGCTGGCAAACATTACCTGCGCCTCACCGGCTTCATGCAGCTCTTCAGCTGCCTGGCCTCAGCCTCCACGGGACCCTGGCACTCAGGCTGTGGCTCCAGCTGCTGCAGCTGCGGCTGCTGGGTCAGCCCTTCGACATCAGTGGGTGTGGGAGCGGGTGCGATCCGGAGCAGGACTGTATAGTTGCGGCCGTGGTTGTTGGCCCAGAAAGTGCCCTCGGGGGTCTCATAGCGCACCACGAAGTCGAGGCGCGCCCCATCGCCCGCACCCTCAGCAAAGGGCAGCTGGAAGGCAAAGCGGTCAGTGCGGCCGCCGTCGTCGGGCGAGGAGGTGGACGCCTGGCCAGGGCCCAGGCCGAGCCCCGGATCCAGAATATGGTCTCCTGCTCCTGGTCCTCCCGCTCCTGCCCCAGGTGCGCTGCGCGGGACGTAGCGCGCTGGGTGGTCGCAGAACGTAGCCCAGCCGTCGTGTGAGGCCCGCACGTGCACCGCCTTCTCGAAGGAACGATTCAACACGCGTACCAACCCGCGAAGCACCGGCGGGCGGCCCCCAGGCACCCACACCCCGGCACCCCCGGGAACCGCTCCAGGAGGCGGTAGCAACGCCTCTAGCTCTACCATGACGCGCCCCAAGCGCTCCAGACGGCCTGGCGCGGGCGGCAGCGAAAATGTGGGCACCAGGTAAAACCCCCCGCCAGCGGGAACGGGGCATAACGGCGAGGGATCGGGACAGGCCTCCTCTTCCTCCTCCCCTTCATCCCCATCCTCGCCATCGTCGTCCTCGTCAGCCCCGCCACTGCCGCCATCTTGCCCGGCCGCCGCCGCCATCTTGCCCGCCCCGGGCCCGCCCCACGGCCGGTAGCGGCGCAGCTGCGCCAGCGGCAGCCCCAGGGCCTCGTCGGCGAACAGCACCCTCCGCGGGGCTACCGTGGCCTCGACCGAGGCGCGGGGCTCACCCGCCGCTGGCGAGGGGGGCGCAGGATGCCGCAGCGGGGGCTCCACAGGGGCCGGGCGCGCCATATCGGCGGCGGCGGCGGCACCGACGGCACCGGCGGCGGGACCGGCGGGGGCAGGGCCTAAAGGGGCGAGCAGCCAATGGGAAGGCCAGGGCGGGAAGGTAGGGCTCAAGGGGGCGTAGGCGGCAAGATGAAGACTGGTATAGCAAAAAGCCAATGGGTAACGGCGCACGGGTGACGTAAGTGGGTGACTGGAGAGCCAATTCACGCAGCCAATGGAGATGACTGAGAGTGGGCGGGGTGGGAGGCGAGATGATTAGGGAATCAATGGGGAGGCGCGAGTAGGGGTGGTGTGGGACCCAGGATGCCGAGAGAGGCGGAACAACTAATGCGAGCTGAATGAGATCGGTAGTGGAAGCAGCAGGGAAAGTGGAATGGTTTCAAGCGGTGGTAACAGCAGGGAACGAACCCAGAGGTCTGAAAAGTGGGAGATCCGCGGGTTGCGTAGGCGGTGGGACGTAAGATAGAGACAGAACAGCCAATGAAGAACCGCGCGTCAATGACGTAAAGGCAAGATGACGAAAATGACTACAAGTAGCCAATGGAGAGTCTGGCGAGCATGCACTGCGGCTTCAAAGGGCGGTACCAGGGCAAAATTAGCCAATACAGAGACAAAAGGAGGCCAAGAGGCGGTGTGTGAGCAGCCACGGAGGCGGGGCTGTAGGAGGAAGCGCTAGTTGGTATGGGGAGGTGCTAGGACTGAGGAAGAGAAAGCAGATATCCTATAGGGTTGCCATGGTGAGAGCTGTTGGATCTCAAAGGGCAGTGGTAGTCTGGAGTTAACCAATGCCGAGGCTAGATAATGTAGACGGACAAGGGAGGATTTGGAGACCGATGAGAAAGAACTGAGCCAACGGAGGCCAGTTTAGGTAGTTGAAAGAAGCCCTGGGTAGCCAATAAGGAAATTAGAATGGAGGACTGGGCGTTGGCAGAGGCACAACTACTGGGTGATCCAGCAATAGACCTATAGAATACAGGCAGAGTATATTACACTGGAGGAAATATTTACCTTCTCCTTAACCTTGCATGAATCCCCAGCAATGCACCGAGCCCCTGGAGGCAGAGACTGCACCCTAGTGTGAGACCAAAGAAATCAAAACATGACTTTCCCTGAACAGTTATCAGGTCTCTCTTGCCATGAGCAAGAATGCCCCCGATTGTTCCTTTCTGGCTTAAAAATCTCTCATTGATCCTCAGCATTATCCATGACGTGGCACCATTGTTGAATGAGTGACGAAATGGAATTTTTTTTGTCAGATTAGCTTTTACTATCTTCAGTTCAATAAACACTGATTCTTTGTGCCACCAAGAATTAAATTGGGCATGTTGACAGTGGCTAATATAGCTACAAACCAAAACCTGTGCTTAGCCAATTTAACACTGCATAACCCATATCCCACAGAAGCGAGAGGGGGGGGAGGGGAGGGAGGGAGAGAGAGAGAGAGAGAGAGAGAGAGAGAGAGAGAGAGAGAGAGAGAGAGAGAGAGAGAGAGAGAGAGGGAGGGAGGGGGGACTGAAAACCTGCTTTATTTATTCCCCAGCTCTGCTTTTCCTTCTCTCCCAAGTTCCTTCTGCTTTCTCCATCTAGTTACTCCTCTCACTCTCCCTTTGAAAAGGGAACTGAGAAACTCCTAAAGCTGCTGATAGCAAAACACACCCGTTCATAGAATCCCCTTCAATTCTGGAAGGAATTACTGCATGCCTACCATCTGCTGCAGTTCTAAACATGCAGTTATCCAACCTTCACAGCATCCTTAAGAGGGAAGCAATCCCTCACAGTGGCTCTCTCCGTCAGGTCTCTGTTGAGGATAGTGTCATGAGTCAGGAAGGATTATGTTCAGCTACAAGTGGCATGAAATTACATAGAACTTGTTCCCGTTTTTTTCTCACCTAAAAGTTCAATCTGGCAAGTAGTCCAGAACTTCATCCTACCCACCCATTAGAGACACCATCTGTGTCCTGATCTGTCCCCCTCCCCCCAGCACTCATTCTTCAGCAAATCCTGTAGTTACTCTATTGAAAACATTTCTCCAATCCACCTGCTCACCACCACCTCCACTACTGGCACTGTCACCAGTCACCCAAACCCCTGAACCCCCTGCACTCCACTCTATATTCAGCAGCCAGGAGAATCCTGTTAAATCCTGACAGTTTGTATATGTTCTCTGCTCATAAACCTCCCATACTTCCCTCCTCACACAAGGTAAAAGCCAAAGTCTTTCTCATAGCCTAAAAGTTCCTGCATGGTCTAACCCCACCAGTCTCCTCTCTGTCCTTATCGCCTACATATCTTCCTCTCACTCATTCCACTGTAATCACACCAGCCTCCTTAGACCTAGAACAAATCAAATATACTCTTACCTCAAAGTCTTTCCACTGGCTGTTACTTCTGGAGTTCCACAGGTATCTACATGGCTCCCTCCCTTGCCGCCCCCAAGTCTTTGTCAAAGGCAACCTTCTCTGAGGGTGTTTTCTCAACTTGTTTAATCCTACTCCCTCACCCCACCTCCTATCCCTCCCAATCCCCTTCCCCAGAATCCCCTGTGCAAGAGGATATAGTCCAAGACAGAGGACAGGTAGTGACCTCTGCCCTTCTGTAACCACCTGATCCCCAGCCTTCATTCTACAAAAATCCTGGCTTTCCAGAGCATTATACCTCCCACATCCTAAACCTCACTCAAGTAGCCTTTTGGAAACCTTTGGCCAATTTAACCTCTTGCTTTTCTCCCACCTTTCTGACAATCACTGTCATGGAGCAAGTGACAGTAAAAGATAGATAGTTAGGGAAAGCATAAGGACCCTGAAAGAGAAAAACAGTTCCTACCCAGTCAGAAACAGGTACAGGGAATGGAAAGGGACCTCTGTTTATAATTACACAGGATGTGTAAGGAATGCTCAGACCCAAGTCCACAAGGAGCAGGGGATTATTAACCTTGGGGACATGCTTACAGTCAGCTCCCCAGATTCCTTCCTGACAAGAATGTTCCTCACTCTCTCTCTCTTGCTTCCTCCCACACGTAATAATTTCTGTTATACACAAGATCCCTTCAGACCTCCAAGTGGAGGGTCCTCATTCTACCATGATACCTCCTCCAGCTGCCCAGCACACACATGAGCCATCTTTGGGTCTTAGATGTATCCCAACATCTCAGAATCAACCAGTGAATGTTGTTTTAGTTGTTTCAGACTAATGGTAAAGAGGGTTGGGTTTTTGTTTTCTTTCTTCTCTTCTCCTCTCTTCTCTCTTCTTTCTCTTTTTTTTCTCTTTCTTTATTCTTGCCAGTCCCAGGGATTGAACTCAGGGCCTGAGCACTGTGTCTGAGCTTCTTTTGCTCAAAGCTAGCACTCTACCACTTGAGCCACAGTGACACTTCTGGCCTTTTCTGTTTATGTGGTACTGAGGAATCGAACTCAGGGCTTCATGCATGCTGGACACACACTCTACCACTAAGCCACCACGTTCCCAGCTCCCCCCCTCTCTTTCTTTGTTCTAGACAAGTTTTTGCCCAGACTAGCCTTGAACTCACAATCCACAGTCCTCCTGCCTCAGTCTCCTAAATGCCAGGATCACAGCCTTGAACTACTAGCCTAGTAACATTTTCTTTTAACTGCTTTGGGCTAATTTTTTAAGGTCTTTTGCCAGGCCAATTGGGCCTGGAAAGTAAATTGAATTAAGGAAGGATGCTTTCCTTTTTTGAGTGCTAAGAGGGGGGGGGGAGGAGGAGGGAAAGGGAGAAGGAGCAGATGAAAGAAGGGGCAAAGGGGTAGGTCCTGGCCACAAGGTTTGTACCTTGTGAATAAAAAGGCTGTTGGCAACTTCTCTTCCCCAAGCCTGAAGCCAGTTTTACAGAGGGGCCAGAATGGATGTTGGATAACTAGAACCCCAAGCCATGAAGAACACTGAAGAGCAGGGAACTAGAAGCCCAGCTATGCCCAACAGGAAAAGCCCCTGGAGGCTGGTCTCCCAATTGATTAATTGTTGGAAGGAGTGGGTACATGCTGAAGTGAGAAAATGCAGCTACCAAATAATGACCAACTTTAAAACCTCACAAATGTCGAGGCCCCAGAGGAATCTCCAAATCCCAGAACCACTCTATCGTGGCATAGAGAAGTGAAAACCTGAGACTTTGGGGGTCAGGGAAACTGGGGGCTCCAAAGGCTACCCACTAAGGAAAACAACATACACACCCTCTGTAATCTGCCAACTCGGTGATCTTGGGCAAATTGTTTGACTGCTTCGTGCCTCCATTTTCTCCTGTATAACAGCAATGCAGTCATGACCAGATGGACCGCAAAAGACTGGTGAGGACTGAACACAGTTCTTCGTAAGAAGCATGTCTGGCATGTGGAAAATTGAGATAAATGTCAGCTACCAGATGATGGTGCATGTTTGGAATCCTACATCCTTACAAACTGAAGCTTTTCAGAGTGTAATATTGCAAAGGCAAAGGATATCAGAAACATCAAGTTATGCTGTTCCTAACAGGATAAAAGGATCAGAAAAAGCCTCTGGGCTTCTTTGTGAAGTTCTGTTTTATTGTGGTGGTGGTGGTGGTGGTGGTGGTGATGGTGGTGGTGATGGTAGTTTTCATAGTAATGGTGGTGGTTGTTTTTTGAGACAGGGTCAAGCTGCTAATGAAATTGTGATCTTCCTGCCTCAAACTCCTAAGTACTGGGATTACAGACATGCATCACCACACTCAAAAGAAATGTTGTTGTTGTTGTTTTTGTGTGTGTGTGTGTGTGTGTGTGTGTAGTTTTCTTTTTCATTTTGCTTTTGTAGTGCTTGAGATGGAACCCAGAGCCTTGCAAGCACTCCACCCCCTAAACTACACTCCAGCCTTTTTTTGTGAAATTGGATGCATTGATACTGGGGGCCACTCCGGACCTTCTCAGTAAGATGGCAGCTAGGCCAGAGCACTTAAACTCTAAGACATGTAAGGCAAGACTTTTCTCCCTTCTTACTCAGTGACTCTCAGTGGATTCTGGGAACCAAAGACTCTTAACTCTTCAATTCCATGAATTGTGGGGGACAGGGGTGGATGCCCCACTTTTTTCTCTATGAATATACCTATGAATGTATTCTCTATGA